GTGATTGTAGGAAAGCTGATATGATTACTGTGAACTAGCCAAGCCATTATTAGATGGTTTTCTACCTGAGAATTAATAATTTATTATTACACTAGACTTTGTGTTTGCACCAAGAAATATGCAAGTAGGCATAGAACTCTGCAATCCAAGGCATGCTAAATATTCAGCGAGCTGAAAAATGGTTTGCTGGAAGACCTCTAATCAGGGATGGGTTCTGCCAGTTCTATAGAAGAGGTTCCACAAATCTATAGTGCCTTTTAGAACTGGTTCCAGCTCCCTCCCCCCACCCGTCCGCACATCATCAAAATGAAGAGCGAGAGGAGGAATTCTGGGAGTTGAAGTCCACAAGTCTTAANTCACTTTAAAAAATAGGAAATATTTGCAAAAATTCCATCCATAAAAGAAAATTTTAAAAAAGATAACACACTGTCCAATGTAGCTTAATTTCACCACTTATTTTCTTTGTTTTCAAATTTAATTTAGCTTTATTTTTTTTGGGGGGGGGGGAGAGGCAGTCTCTTTTATAACTAAGATTTCCTCACCAGATGTACACACTTTCTCTTTCCGCTTTCCTCCTATTCCAGAGCTGTCCCAACTTCAGCAGCTTTTGGCTGTGCTTCTGTCGCTGGCAAGAAGAGATTCTCTTGGATCAATCAGGGACTTTGCGGTGTCCCTGAGATCAGCAAGACATACTCTTTCCTGTCACTTTCCTGTCATACTCTTCGGGACAGTTTAGGTCCAAACAGACCATCCAGCAGCAAAAGCATCGGCTGCAATCTCGGAGCTCCAAGATCGCACGGCGTGTCATTGTGATGTCAGCAACTGTCTCCCCTTGAGCTTATTTTCTTTATTCAAATGATCTAAATTGTATAAAAATTATACTGAGGCTTCTGGGAACAGTCATAGAGAAATAAAATGTTCTAAAGGCAGTTCAGTATTTTAAAAGAAAGTTTATTTCAATATCAAGAAAGTAAATCTTTTTAAGAAAATCAGATCCTTGACAATTATTTTGCTGAATGAAAACAAGTCTCACATTCTGGTTTCAGTCAAATATCTTTGAACACACAGGTTTAAATTAACAAGTCTTATTGCAACAGTTGTTTGTTGACAATCGATTGTTTGATTTTGGAAAAACATTTCACCCACTTTTATCACAAGGACACCTCATGCCTGGTATAGCATAGGCAATCATTAGCTAGATAAAATCTTAAAGACTTCCAGTGTTGGAGCATTCACTACTTCTGGAGGCATCTAAATAACTTCTGGAGGATCTAAATAACATCCTTTGTGTATATCTAATTGAGGCCTTCATACAAGAAATGGGCTGTGTGGTTGAAAACCTGTCCACTACCACAAACATGAATCTATGATTGATTTCCCTCTTGTAACAACTTCTGGGAATTCACACACCTGCCCCTATTGCAGCCCAGAGTGTCCAAGTACAAAAAGGGAGAACCTTATCTGCTTTTACGCTTGCAACATAATTTTACTATATGCCTGAAAAAAAGTCACAGGTATCCCTTCTAAACCCTTTAACCATAAATCTTTCGCAGAATAAACTTAGTAGTATGAGAATAGAATGAAAAGGAGAAATAATTATGGATATAACCAAGAAGGAAAAGGAATTGGTCCCCATTTTCTGATCCTCAATGTTATTTTGTCATCATTTTGTCTTTATATTGCTACTGCTAAAGGTGCTATTATTATGAACAACATACTAAACTTCACCTCACATACTATCTTTTACACTGTTGTTTGCTGGTCCCTACAGAAGTTAATCTTGTAGTCGGAAGCGTGGGGGTTGAAAAGGAAAAGTACATATTAAAATAATAAAGAAAAAGATTATAGTCTGTGTTTATGTTGCTTGAAGGACAACTGGCAGACTGGTGGAATGAATGAAGAAAAAGTTGATGGGAAGAAGCTCTCTGATCAGTTTTCTTGACTTCTGCCCCAGGCTGAAAGAGGAAGAACTACTCTCATAGCAGGTCCTCCTTCTATGGATGAAGCAACATGGATTCTGAGAATGTCAACGTCTCCTGGATGCAAACATCAATCCTTAAGAGAATTAAGGAACTACAAAGTCAATTAGCTTTCATTCAGTCCACTCCTACAGATTCTTATTCACACTTTATCAAACAATTGGGCTTCGGTTTCATGATTGTGGTCACTATTTTGACTTTTGAGGCTCCCTCCTGGGGATACAATTAACATATTTTTATATGTTTTATATTTTTTCATAAATTGTGCTATTATCCCATCTACCCGAGGAGCCGAGGTGGCGCAGTGGTTAAATGCAGCACTGCAGGCTACTGCTAGATCAGCAGTTCAGCGGTACAAATCTCACCGGCTCAGGCTTGACTCAGCCTTCCATCCTTCCGAGGTGGGTAAAATGAGGACCCA